AGCAAGTTAAATTGTTTATCTTTTGAGCTAGTTTGAGTTTGAACCAACTTCAGCCCTAAAAATCATTTAGGTAATAATTTATATATATATATATATATATATATATATATATATATATATATATATATATATATATGCGCTATATAGCCCATAAATTTTGGGCCCCTGGAGACGTGGGCCCGGGGCGGTCGCCCGGGTTGCCCACCGTCTGGACCGGCCCTGAGTGTTAGAATGCTCAAAACCCTTCAATAAGAAGGAAATATGGGTTGGGAATCCACCGAATTTTGTGGGTTGGGAGAGCTTCGACAAATCCAAGTGTGGGATAATCGTTCAGAATTCCGGGAGATGGATCAGGTGTGAAACTAGGGTAAGTTTCACATCCCAATCAGGAGGGGAGACGACTCAAGTGGCTATTTGGATTGAAGTTGTGTAAGTTGGGAGTTCAGGAAACTTCCAATAACTGATCAACGTCTTCTTTGTGATGTATAGCAGGCATGTGGATGTATCCAGGTTGAGGGCTGTGTTAGAGCCTTGCTGCATGTTCTTGTTCGATGAAGGCTTTAGGGTTCAAAGCATGACCCGAGCACCTGATTGTAACTCAGTTGGATGTGGGTTCAACTCATGATATTTGGGGTTGATATGGTATAAGTCCGATAAGACCACGAGTGGTATCGATGGCGGATTATACGTGTCGTAAGACTGAAAGGTGGCCGTAACATTTACTAGAGTAACAAATAGTATGGAAGTGTTGTAAGTCTGCGATGGGATCGTAGCATTCGCTAGATTGAGATATACCATTGTCTGGGGGTCGTGGTATAAGGTAGGTTCAGTCCGTGCCTTGGGCAAGGCGATCCGGATTGTCGGAGAACATTTCTCTGTTATAGGAGGAGGACCATTGGGGTCCGAGGAGGGGTTGGGCCTGTGTACTTTAGATTGGGTGAGTCCCGTGGGTGAGGCTTGAGTGGTTATGGCAATACAGGTGGGACCTGACAGAGACCGTTTGGGTTATGGTATTGGATCATGGTTTTAGTAGGGATGATATGTGGTCAGTGAGTGGCATGGAGTTATGCATAGGCTAAGGTAGCCTTGTCAGTGGGACTCTCAGGAACCTGGTGGCTGGACCAGGTATGAGAATGGTAGTCTCAGCAGTGGTTTGGGAATCTTTATATCTAGGTTTAGTGAAGGGTTTCCGTGAATCAGAAGATTTCGGGTGTAATGCAAGTGAAAATCTTTAGATCTCTAGTTACGAATGAATTACTGAGTTGGCTTTTGGTTGAAACTAGCATTGGGAATCGTGAGTATGTATGCAAGGTCTTTCTTTCAGCAAGATATGAATTAAGGAATCTGTATGCCAAAGGCAACAACTAAAGGGTTTAGGGAAAAAGGGATGTTTTCAGTTCTGATGGTAGAAAAGGCCCTTGTGATCGTGCCTTAGAATGATTCTACATGTGTGTAGGTCTGGCAAGTTATGGGACTTCATAATTATAGCAATAGTGTTTCGGTTCGGCAGTTAAGGAATTGGTGACTTATTCAACACTAGAAGGTTTAACTCTCAGATTGTCTCTTGTGGTGCAATATATTCATGGATTTGTTATCTTCAGGATGAGTCTTCTACTCGAAGGATTATCTAATCCCTTTTGTTAAGTGAAAAGTTTCCGGCTGCAACGCATGGTCAGTGATTATGTTTTCCAATGGGAACATCAAGTAATCAGAAGTTGGGTAGTCCGTTTGGAATTCAAAGTTGACTTGATTTAGCACTGGTTCAGTATAGGTTGTCTGTCGGGGAGTCAGACAAGTTTAAGATTTCAGATCTCGGGTAGAGTAGAAATGGTCATTCTTCAAGGGTTAACTTAAGTTGTGTAAGGATCCATTCATCACCAGGATTTGGGAACCCTACTAAGGTTGGGTTCGATTGCATTTTTAGAAGGTTGTTGAATGCCCGGGGTTGCTTACTCGGTCCGTATCGGGGTGGCGGTTGATTTGCTCAGGCTGTCTGGCATACCTGGGATGGTAAGGAATGATTTCGAGGACGGAATATAATTTAAGTGGGGGATAGTTGTAACACCCGATTCACGTTACTTTTTAGTTTAGACCCTTGGTGTGTAATGTTTTGCAGAATTGGTCCTTAGGAGGCAAAATTGCCAACTTTAGGAAAGCTGGAGTACGTTGGGCATACTCCTTGTACGTTGGGCATACTAGTGCATTCAGGATCGTGCATTCAGTCCACGTACGGTGGGCATACGCATGATGTACGTGTGGATTATGAAAACCTAATTTATAGGGTATTACACCCTATTTAAACCTTAAGATAGATTCTTTTGGTCATGTTTAGCCAGCGTCCACCCTCCCTTGTCAAGAAATCGAAACCCTAGTGAGTTCTTGAGAGTTTTGTGACATAAAGTGTGTTTGTTGGTGCTTTGTGAAGGAGAAGAAGAAGTGAACCGTTTGGAGTTGTGCTTGGATCTTGAGGATCTGGGATTAGTTCATCATTTGCTAACCTTTTGTAGTAAAAATCTTCCATCTTGCTAATCTATGATGCTAGATCTAGTTATGTGTAATTTTGTGTCTTTTTGAGTCCTTAGAGTGATTGTTGAGCCTCTTGATTCACTCCAGAAGTGATTAATGGTAGATCTAGGGTTCTTTTGGTCCTTTTTTCCATAAAAAATGCAAGATTGGAGGTGTTTATGGACTCATGCATGTGTTAAGACCCTATGTTAAGTTCTTTTGAGCTTTAGAACCCCATGAAGCCGTGCATGCATGAAAAGTTGCCAACTCTACATGATAAGACACCTTAAGGAAGTCGGATCTGTGAATATGAAGAAAGGGCTGAGCGGATTAAGTGCTTAATGATGTGGGATGGATAACTGGGGAGTACGTTGGGCGTACAAGCTGGTACGCTGCACGTACTAGCCCTAGAGCATATACGCTAAGCGTACGAGCTGAATATGCCCAACATACTCAACAGTGGGCTTTGGAAGTTTGGGCTTTTCGGTATTGGGCCCATGTTGGACCTTAGGAGTCTAGGGCTTTGTTGAGCCATGAGAATTCTATTCTTTGGGCTGATGCTATTTTGTGGACTCTTTTGGTCGAAGGCCCACGATGGGATTTAGGCCCAATATGGAAGATTGGGCCATATTTCGGCTTTGGGTGATCATTTTGGAACTTGGGCCTTTTGGATAGTTGGGTTGGGACTTGGCCTTGGGCCAAGTTAGGTAAAGGGTAAAATGGTATTTTATCCTATTCTGGACTCTTAGTATGAGTCGGGATCCAATTATTAATTGGATGGTATTTCATGTTTATAGCACGGAGATTTTAGCGGACCAGCAGCCAAAGATTTATCTGTGAGATTCAGCACTCTGAGGTAAGTCTCCCTCACCATGTTTAGCGGGTTGAAGGCACCAATGCCGACCCAAGGGTTTATTATGTTAGGGTGTTAGATGTCTGTGTGACTCTTGCATGTGTATGTGTTCGTATGCTTAGTGGGCGGGGCCCAAAGGTTATTTTGTATGCTACTACTAGTTATGCTTGCATACTTGTATGCGGGACGGGGTTCGTTGTGCGAGTTAGGGTGAGGCCCGTTATACTCAGTGGGCGGGGCCCATTATGCGAGTTAGGGAGAGGCCCGTTACACTCATTGGGCGGGGCCCGTTGATAGACAGATCTGTATGCCCGCGGGGGGGGGGGGGGGGGGGGGGGGGCAATGTCGGGCGGGGCCCTATGATGGGAGGGGGCCATTATGTGTTGATATGTATGGTATGTGGTATTTGGGGAACTCACTAAGCTCTGTGCTCATGGTTTTCAGTTTATGTTTCAGGTACTTCTGGTTTGAACGAGGGGAGCCCAGGATGATTGTAGTGCACACATCACCGTTTCCACATTTTATGATTTACTCTGATATTTATGATGCATTGAAACACTTTGTTCCACCTTGGATTCCATGATGTTGTCTTTGGGATTATCGTTTTATAAATTTAAAAATGATATTTTTGGTTTTTTTTTTGGACGTTACAATCGATGATGACATGTATCTAATTTTTGAATTTATGTAATGTTTTGTAAAATTATAACATATTTTTAACTTGAATGTTTGGATTAATATTTTGATATTGTTGTTGTATTATTAAATTTTAATGTTTCGATCTATTTTTCTGCAATTAATATTTCATAGCAGTTTTTATATTTTTCTAATGTTTGTTATGTATTTGGATTGAACAGTTTCATAAAAACTAAAAAAAAAACTACAATCAGTGGCGACACCTTTAGTCGTAATAGATGACATTAGTGTCAACGAGGCATTAGTGACGACAGATAGCATTATCGGCGACAATTAGAAATTTTTTGCTTATAATTACATTTTAATTAAGTTACAATTTTAATATTTCTTATTGTAGCCTTAATTTGGTTTTAATCTTCTAATCATCTTTTATTATGAAATTTTTTGCTTATAATTACATCATGTATAAAGTAAATTTGAGAAAACATTTGTTTCTAAATATAATAAAAATATCCACATAAAAAATCATTGCATTCCTACACGCCAACCAGCAGGATCATAGAGTGCAAGCCACTGTTCCATCAGTGCCTGAGAAATAAACAAAACAATTTATGAAATAAAAGATTAAAAAAAAGGCCAAAAAAGATCAGAAAATGATGCTTACAAGACATTACCAAAAAGTTTAATTGCAGTTTTGCATAATGGAAGTTTTTTGTCTATTTGTTTGTAATTAGAGTCCTTAATTATTCCCATGTCCAGTCCATAATCAGTGTATGCTTGGTACCGAACTAGTGGATCAGTGAGTCCTATTCTGATCGTAAATCCCTGTATAACAAAAATCATAAAATATAAATCAAAATTTTAATGACAAATTAAAATAAAACCCATTTTTTGTATTAAGCAAAGAGAAATACAAATACCTTTAAGTTTATATGGATTCCTTCTTTATCTTTGTTTCCTTAGTGGACTCGAGCAGCTGCAGCTGCCACTACATTTCCATGAGGTTTTAAGGCCTCTGGAAATGTAGCCTTTGTGTAGTAGAAATAGAAGAAGTAATATTTGTTGATATGCGACCACTTCCTGAACCCAACCGCTTAGAAGGCTCACCAGATGAACTTGGTTTGCTGCTGCTTCCCATCACTGCTCTTTTTGAGCTGCTTCCATTTCGTGATATCCGCCCTCTATCTGACTTACCATGCACCTAAAAGTCAAAATTTATAAATATCATCCAAAGTCAAAGCAATTTTTCAAATGTAAGAACATTGCTTTTATAGGTAAAAAAGCAAAGACAATTTTTTTAATTTTTACTCACTGCATCCTTGGAGGGTGTAACATTCTCTGAAGATCTATGCCTTGATTGATCACCATGCAAGCCGCTACTAGAACCATTTCTTCTAGTAAATGACTCAACTGCCCCTGAAAATCTATCTCGAACCTCTTGTTTCACTAAAATGGTATAAAATAATCAACCATTAAGATTTCCTTCTCATTAAAATAAAAAAATTAATAGAAGTATATTAAGTAAAAAACAAATCTAAACAAACCTGGGGTCCTTTCTGCTTTCTCTGCTGATATTCCAGGGTTCAATGGTAATTTTGCAGTTGTCTGCTCATAATAAAGATAAATAAATATTTCAGAAAAGATAGAAAATTAACAAACAAATAACTTACCCTTCCTCTAGAACTGGAGCCCACATGGGGATACTTTAACATGGTCCAGTCAAATATATAGTCAAACTGATAACCTGAATAAAGAAAGTTTGACACATGAACACTTCTTGTTCAATATACTGATACGTATTTAAGAAAATAATATACAAAAAATATAATTATTTAAAAAAATATAAATAAATTCTACCTTCTCTAATGAAAAGTTCACGGAAAAGCCTCTTCAAGTAAGAATAATCTGGTTTGTCCTCAAATCGCAAAGATCAACAATAATGGAAATATTGTATGAATTCAGTAGGATAAGATTTGCAAAGCACCTGTAAGGTAAAAGTAAATAAATAAAATAAAACTAAAAGAGAATAAGTACTTAAAAGTATATTTGCTGTAAATAATAATCAATACCTCAATGGGAGTAAGCATCTTTTTTTCACTAATTTTATCATATTTCTGCTTCTTGGTGCCAGCTTTTAACCCCTGCTTCGAGATGTTCCTCACTTCAGTGTAGTGTTGGTCACTGAAAGCCTGAGAAGGGAAAGTGGAGTTGCGACTTGCGAGATACTAAGATATAGATTTAGGGTTACCCTCTTAGACTACAGGGTGGTATAGTGCGGTAAACAGATCGAACACATTTTGAAATTTACATGAAATTTACAATCATATTTTGTACTTCTTTGAACAGATCGAACTCATTTTGAAGGATCAAAATCAAGTTGGCTTTTACTAAACTTCACCATATCTCTGATTAAACTTCTGATTGCTTCCTAAATCCTTTTGTTCATAAATGGATCGCTATCTGGTGAACCATTGAGATGATGAAGGCCAAAGAGAAACCCTAAATCGCATATATTTATAGTTGTATGCGAGTGATGGGCCTATGTATACGTGAAGGCACTGGTGAGGGATGGAGGAGGTGGCGGGTCAGAAATTAGGGCTTTTTTGGAGAGACGTTTTGAATCACATCCAAGGAGTCATCTACATATTCGGAATTATGTTTCACCCCATTGAGTCGTCTTCTTCTTTGTAAGATCCCAAACTATTTAATGAAACCCATCCATCGTGCAATGCCTCCGACCACCACTCGTAAGCGGAGATCCGACGAAGTCCTAGGGCTTTTTCTTGCTAATTGGAAGAGGCGGAGATTTTAATTTTTGGGATCCAATAGGTGGGTGAAATCCCGCCTTAAAACGCGTGTTTCATTAAAAAATTATAAAGCGACACACTTAGATGACACACATTTTATGAAAGGCGCCCTCCGCATTTCCTCTTTTTTTCTTTTCTGACACTAATTTTAGGGCACGCACAAATGCGTGTCCTCTATCCTTCAAATTTTACAAAATTGACATTATTTTTTAGGGCACACACAAATGCGTGTCCTCTATCAGCGCGCGTCATTGTTTGCACATCATTAAAGGGCTGTTTTCTAGTAATGGTATTAGCGACGAGCCAACAACAACGACCCTTTATCGACGACATATCACCACTAAAGGTATTAGCGGCGACATTCTTGTCCTTTAGCGGCGACACTCATCGCCACTAAGAGCATCCACAATGAGGGTTTAATAAGAGTTGAATGGATGATTGCTAGGATTAAATAGAAGTTGAATAAAGTGTGGGTGATGATGGTTCAATGAATTTAATCTTTTCTTTTTCAATTAAATTTCAAACTATATATATATATACTAGACGAATTCCCGCGCGTTGCGCAACGAAGATTAAAAATATATTGTTAAAATATTGAAAATATATATGTTTAAAATGGTTATGTTATTGACATTAACTTTGAGATAAAGATGTTCATTTAAAATACAATTTATTTATAGCTAAATGTAATTTATAGTTTGATGTTATTATCATTTAAAATTGTTATTCATTAATTTAAACCACTTATTATTAATAATAAGTTAAAGAAGACTTTTAAGAAACACTTAATATTATTATTAAAATGTGAAACATACACTAAATAATAAAGTGATAAGATAGACAATTTGCATTTTAAAAGAGACTTGCATGGATAATATGACATATCCATGTAATTTGATTTTATTATTTATAATTATTGCTTATTAATTTTAAAACCACTTGTTATTATTAATAGGTGAAAGAAATTTTTAAAAAACACTTATTATTATAATTAAAATGTTAAACATATACTATAATATAAAGTGATAAGATAGACAATTTGCATTTTAAAAAATGCTTACATGAATAATATGGATAATATGACATATCCATGATTTTTAATTAATTATTGTTTTGAAGCAACATGAACATACAAACATGTATACAATAGTTAATTAAATATTATATATATATCACCTTCCATAACATATGATCGATAACATGAATCTAATCTAATTTACATTAAAATTTCAACCATAACATACAATGATATTCTTAAAAGAATACTTAAATCAAGAAAATACAAAAAAGAATTACTATATAACAAACTTACAAATTTAAAACTTCAACATAATAACATGGCTCAAAAAATTGTTCAAAGCCCTCAAACCAACACAAAAAACTTTAAACTTGTTTTATTTGTGAATTTTGTATGTGATTTGTATTTGTGTGTCTACTCAAAAAGATTGACCTTTTTATAGTAGAGTATCCATTAATTGTTTATTAAATATATTATATAAGTTATAAAACCTTTGAATTGTTAATCATTATTAAGAGACTTTTGAGTGGTCTTCATTAAAATAGGAGGTTTCAAATGCATGAGGTGTTTGCAAATTTTTATGGGGGTTTCAAATGCATGAGGTTCAAGGAAAAAATGCTAGCTTTATAAGTATGTATGATATATATATATATATATATATATATATAATCATATTTATTATTATTTTTATATTTGATTACCATATTTTTCTTAAATTAAACTACAAATAAAATTAACGGTATTATATTATTTAATATATCATATTTTTAGGTATGATATTTTTCAAATAAATAAATCAAATGAAATATTTAAAAATAAAAACCCACTGAAAAAGAAATATATCCTTTACAAATCTAATACAAACTAATTTTGATAAAATATTACATTAATCAAAATATTGGACATTAATTTCGACTGTTATGTAAAAAACGTTCTCAAATATATTTTATTAAATCATGCCGAAGTATATAATTTGTTTCACTATCACGAAGTTCAGAGTTCCTTAAAATTTGATGTATTTTTAGGTATTGTTTTTTTTTTTTTTTATAATTTTTAGGTTTCGTGTTTTTTTAATTAATGTATTTTTAGGTATTAAATGTTTTAGATTTCGTAAATTTTAATTAATGTATTTTTTAGTATTGTACTTTTTTTTAACTATTATAAAGTAGGTGTGAGACCCGTATATTATACGGATTGATTTAAAAAAAGATTAAACATTAAAATATAAACAGAAAATATCTTTTAATGTAAAATTTTAAAATAAAAAAGGAAGAAATGTATTTATTGCAATTTAATATCATATATATGATATTTAATATTTTAAAGTATATGATTTTAATTTTAAAAATTGAAATAAACCAAAAATTGAAAAACGGATAATATTTATTTAAAAAATGCCACAAAATGACAAGTGTCAAAATTCATGAGAGAATGACATGTGGCAAAAAAATCTTCAATTATTAAGGAGGATTTTATTTTTAAATTTATAATTATTTTTAAAAATATAATGATGATGATATGGAAATGTATTAAACTTTGTAGGATTTAATGAAGTTTGACCGTTAAAAAGTAAAACTGAATAAAAAGAGAAAATGTTGATTTAGCGGTAATAAGGGGCGGACGCAGAAATTTATAGTAGGTGTTGCTGATGCAAGAAAAATACTAGGTTAAAAAAGTTGAAAAATCGAAAAATTTTCCACTGCATAAAGGGAAAATAAGTGTTGCCGACCGTTACATATCCGTCCCTGGCGGCAATTCATTGAACTTCTTAGAATTCAATAGACGGTGGATTTAGCTCAATATTTTTATAGTGGCGATGATAAAATGTAATTAATTGTATTCCCAAAAAGTCAAAGGTAACCTCATGACCGACGTAGCATCTAGATTGTGGGGTGTGGTGCTGGTGTCGTCGACCAAATGCAAGCTCAAGTGTAAGTCCAAATTTTGGAGTAAAATGTTGGAGAACCACAAATTAGGTCAACCCTTACCCCCACAGCCTTCTTTGACAAAATGAATATAAATAAATTAACAATTTGCAATTGAAGAAATGAAGTACGTAACAATTTTCCAAAGAAAACTTCAATGGAGATCCTTCATTATTTCTTATTTTTTGGTCTCCTCATGTCCGATTTGGGCATTAGTAGGGCACAAGACACCATAGCAGCTAATCAAACTCTCAGTGACGGGCAAACCCTTGTTTCAGCTGATGAAATGTATGAACTCGGGTTTTTCAGTCCTGGAAACATTACAAACCGCTATTTGGGCATATGGTACAAGAACAAATCCCCACCGAGAGTGGTGTGGGTTGCTAACAGAGAGAAACCAATAACGGATACGTCAGGTGTCTTCAAAGTTGACACCAACGGAACCCTATTGGTTATGGCAGGTAGCAACAACACCACTGTCTGGTCATCTAACCCTGGCCCGATATCTCTCACAACCATAAATCCGGTGGCACAACTTTTGAACCCCGGAAATCTGGTTGTGAGAACAGCTGGTCAGGGAAGTTTCATCTGGCAAAGTTTTGATTACCTTGGAGACAAGTTGCTTCCCGGGACAAAATTAGGGAAGGACCTGGTCTCTGGGTTTGAGTGGCGGTTAACGTCATGGAAGAGCCTCGATGACCCTTCACCTGGCCTGTATGTAGGGTTCGTGAATACAAACGGGTTCCCACAGGTGTTCATAGAAAGAGATTCTGTTCCTTTCTCGAGGTTTGGACCATGGAATGGTCTTACGTTCAATGGGATTCCTAGTCATATTTCAAACTCCATATACACACACGACTTTATTATGAATGATAAAGAGGTGTACTATAGGTTCACACTTGTTAATAGTTCAGTCGTGACCCACATCTACTTAACTCCAGATGGCATCCCGTTACGAATGAACTGGAATGAACGAACACAGATGTGGTTCCTATACTCGAGCGCGAACATTGACATGTGTAGCCGTTTCGGACTATGTGGTTCATATGGAAGGTGCAACCCGAATAACTCACCTCTTTGTAGTTGTATGGAAGGGTTCGAACCACGAAACCTAGAAGAATGGAGTGCCTCCCAGTGGTCAAGTGGGTGTCGCCGTAGAACAGCTTTAGGTTGTCCGAATGGAGATGGCTTTAGAGTGTTTAAAAACGTTAAAATGCCAGACACTCGGCGTGCATGGTTCAATAGGAACATGACACTTGGTGAATGTAAGACAGCATGCAAGCAAAATTGCTCGTGTAACGCGTATGCGAATATTGATATTCGAATGAATGGAAGCG